AAAAAATTTCTTGAGCTGAGATACAATGCCACAAAAAATAGATTACAATGGCGATAAAAGTAGAGTTTACGATATGCTCGTCCCGACCTTAGGATCATGCGAACACGAAAGTTGCGGTCATAATCAAGTACAGTCAATTGATCAGCAGACAATTCGACAGAAAGAACTTCTGCCAGCCCTTATGATCGAGTGGTGATNGGGGGGGGGGGGGGGGGGGTGCAAGAGTTTGGAGTCGAGGTTCGAACCCGTTCGCGCGCTGCTGAACATTGAGCAAGTCTCGGTCTCCTTACCACAGGCGATTCTGATTGGTTATACCGATCAAGACCGCTGGTGGTTTAGAGATGGTTTTTTTTTTTTATTTTTTTATTTGCACATAATATTATACTGCACAATTTAACACTTTTAGACAAAATTTTTGTCTTTTAAAAGCTTAATTTAACTATTAAGTTTAATACTTAACTACTAATACTACAAATTATAAAGTACATACTATCTCTAATGCATTGAGAAGCTAATAAGGCACAATTAATTCAAATTAAAAATGTCTTTTTGTTTTAATTGTTGGATTTTGGCGACCGGACTCGGTCTAAGGCCAAGAACCTCCGATCACGTCCTAAGAGCGTAGAGAGGCACGATGATTAATATTATGAGAATTTTGAGAACCCCTGGATTCCAAGCTCATGGGGCTTGCGACGTTTTAATCGGCGGAGGCATCGGTCCCATTCCAAGAGCGCGAGCGCTTCAGGGTTGGGGTGCCGATGCAACCTGCTCTCATATGCGGTGTACATCTTGGTGATGTAGTCCTCCACAGAATCAATGTCGAGGTCTGCCCGGATATCGACATTCCTCTCGTACCAACGAGCTTTAGCTATGCTTCTCAGGATTTTCATTTGTATTACTTCTATCTTATCTAAATTTGTTTTGGCTGCACAACCCCACAATTGGCAGCCATAGCTCCAAACAGGCCTCAACATTGACTTGTAGAGGAGTAACTTGATATTTAAAGGTAACCGTGACTTTCGTCCGACGAGCCACTGCATATTAGAGAACTTTAAACGTAGCTGGGCTACTTTCTTTTTAATATGGGTGCCCCACCTGAGCCTGGAATCCAGGTGAAGTCCGAGATATTTGGCAGTTGTGTCATGTGGAATTATATCGTTCCCTAGGGAAAGTGGAATGTGTTTATAAGGGCGATTTGTAAAGATTACTTCTACCGATTTTGTGGCATTTAACTTTGTTTTATCTCTCAAAGTCCACTTGTTGATTTTATTCAAGTGTTGTTGAGTTGTATGACGTGCCTCTCTATAGCTCTTAGACGAAGCCAACACGAGAGTATCATCGGCGTAAACTCCCAACTTACCCCTCCTCCCGGACTGTGGGATATCCGCTGTAAAGAGAGAGTAAAGAAGGGGGGACAAGCAAGAACCCTGAGGAACTCCTGCTCTAATGGGTCTGAAACCAGAGGTTGAGTTTTCGTAACGAACTCGAAATTGTCTCCCTGTGAGAAAAGAAGACAGGAGCTCCACATGGTTACAAGGGAGCATTGAGAAAAGCTTTCCAATGAGACGCTCGTGCCAGACACGATCGAACGCTTGTGCAACATCAAGAAAAACCGCCACACAATATTCCCTTAGAGATGGTAGTTGTTGTCTTAACCTGTGGCGTGGCGCGTGCTTTGCGACTAATTGATTGATCTGCCATTTAAACCTATGTAAACAGATCAATTAACAGGGTGTTCGCAACGAAAGCCTTAGTAATCGATTCTTCAGTATTGCTTCAAATGGAAAAATATCAATCATTCACGCATCACCACTGGTCTTAACTCGATTTTAATCCGCAATATTAAAAAACAAGTTGGATTTTGCAATCGCTAGCGATAGCAATATTCGTCATGGGAACGTTAGCTTCTGGGATATGAAAATGTTAAGGTACAGTTCGTTTGTAGTATCTTCTGAATTGAAGGGGCTATGTAATTTTGTGTTGACATCTCTTTTTTAACATTTTTAATTATTTTCTTTGCATACAAGAAAGCTGTTATGTACCAATTATTTATTTTCGTTGAATTATATATGGTTTTCGGAAGTTAACGCATTTAAGTTTCAGGTTCGCTTTTTCGGCGTAAAGTATACGTAAGGTGTCCCAAAAGCACCGGGACTTGTTCTGTAACTTCGAAAGTAAGATAGATACAGACATGACCTTGATTTCATTTTAAAGATCAACTCAATACCTATCGATTAAAACCAAGATCAGCTCAATCGGATAAAAATTGACCGAGTTATGGCAATTTGAAATCAGCGAGGAAAGTTTACGCCTACGATTTTTAAGGAAGATTCTTCATCGCCGTAAATCGAAAAGTCGGCCGATAAAGTGATGCTTATTAGTGTATTTTCCGAAGGAAATACACTATTGCGTTTTGTGTTTTTTTATTTTCGAGGTGTCATTTATCAACATTTTGTACCATCAAACACAACAGTTGACAGTGCGTATTATTGCAAAGTAGTAAAGGAGTTGAGAATGCACATTTCCCGGAAACCGTCGGACTTGAAAGCTCCGTGGATACTCCATCAAAACAATGCGCAGCCTCACACATCGAGCTTAACACGTGAATTTATGAGTAAAAATGGAGTTGAAACAATCCCTCTTCCCCCTTATAGCGCTGACTTGGCTCCATGTGATTTTTGGATGTTTCCCACGCTTAAAAAGGAGCTTCGCGGACGAAGATTCGTATCGAAGACCGAAATCCAGAATGCAATTCAAAACTTCTTCAACTCCATCCCAGAGGAATAATTCAGGAAAACAATGTTGGATAAGTGGCAAGAGCGCATAAAAAAGTGCATCCGGTTTGATGGACGGTACTTTGAAAAGCAAAAGGAAGTTATGGAAGATTCGGAGGAAAGTGGATACGAATATTAACTTTTTAAATCCTGGTAAGCGAAAAATCTTCCTAAAAACCGTAGGGGTAAACTTTCCTCACTAATTTCAAATTGTCATAACTCGGTCAATTTTTATTCGATTGAGCTGATCTTGGTTTTAATCGATAGGTATTGAGTTGATCTTTAAAATGAGACCAAAATCATGTCTGTATCTATCTTAATTTTGAAGTTACAGAACCAGTCCCGGTACTTTTGGGACACCCTACGTATGATATTTTTACTCTACACATATGCTCGAATACGCATCATAAGGGACCTATGTGCTTCCTAATCTGCCAAGTATTAATTATTGTTAGATGATTGGTCTAAAACATTCAATACAACCAGTAAAAATTAACTGTCCCCTGCGAGATTCGAACCCCCGCTCGCACAAAAAGTGTCACTCTCCCAGAGGCAAAACGGTAACGCAGCCGGTTGAGATATTTCGCTGTTCAGATATGCATCGAGAAAAAGAGAACACTTAAGTGATCTCGGACGCTGAGCGGGGCTTCACAAAAGACGTCCTTGAGATTTCAACGGTTCGGCCACTGGCGTGATAAGACACAACGGATCAACCGCATTACTCTGTGAGACATTGTTTACCTATGCTGTCATGTGTCACGAGGTTCATCTCACCATGGATTTGCGATCGCGGCAGTAAGCTGAGGCAATATTTCTGTATTCATGGATTAAATCCATCAATCGAGTTCTGATTTTGGCTCATATATCCGTAACGGGTCCTCCAGAGCAATTTTCCACCTTGTACGATGGTTATTATTTCTTTATATCTATGTTTAAAATTTGAGGTGGGATAATGGCGGCTTCTCAAGAGCCACGAGGTAGGCGATCTTTTGCACCAACGAACAGAAAACTGATGGCGAAAAATAACCAATCAGAACCTCCCAAAAAAAAGAATTTGCCTAAAAACGGAACTTCGTGGTTCTGCGCAGATTTACCAGTCAGACACGACATCTCCAGGTGGCAAAAAACTCGCTGAAAGCGAATTTTAGCAATCAACACAACTTGACGTAGAGACATGATTGGCTAAAAAATACAACGGTTTTTGATACATCGGAAAATCAACCAAAAATCGGAGACTGGGCGAAACGCTCAAGGTCGCAGAGGTATAGGGAATTCCATAGCGAAAGCAACGGAACGATTCTAATATCATGGGGAACTCCGTTCCCATGACAAAAATGCGTCCAAATACCCTGAAATATATGGTTCTCTACTCTTGCGATATTTTTTATACAAAGCTATGTTTTCACACGTGTACGATAGTATCAAAAAAATTTGAAGAACTTAATGCGTATATGAAATAAAAAATCACTGAACAAATGAAAAAACTTAGAATAGCAGTGGTAAAAAGACCACACTACGAATTGTGCCGTTTGTCGAAATTAAGTTTGCTTTAAATATGTACCGAGGGATTTTATCGTCCATCGATATATTTCAACCGAAAAAAGTCAGAACGTGTAACACAATAATGTAGTTTCATTTTCACGTGCCTTAATGCGAATGCGGAAATAAAAACTAAATTGTGCCTTATGAATGCAAATCAGTGTTCAAACATTTTTTTAACCATAGTTGTGAGCTTTTCCAGATGTGTAGTTACCGCCATAGCCGTCGTAGCGCTGCCTGCGCTCCGCGAATCTTCCTGGAATTCTTCATGTCAGAAAGAGAGCCGATCAGAATCTTACTGTTTTTACCCTCAAGACATATTACCCCTCTACCATCAAATATACTGGTATAGACAGTAATTTTTCCTCCTGAAAAATTGGACTCTTCTTGATTTTTAGTCGTCTCACTATTGATACGTCAAAACTTATTCTCTAGAATTTTGATAGTCACCATTCTGGTCAAAATTATCGTGTTTCTATGAATCTGAGGTTTGCCAATCCGAAGGAATTACTTCAGAAAGATACACTTACGGCTTTCGTGTTTTTATTGCCCAATAAGCAAAGAATCTCGATTATTTGTAAATTTAATCGCAAAGCATCATATAACACAGGCTCAAAACAGTGAGCTAAATTTTAAAATAATTTGCGTTAAATTTTTATGAAAATACTGGTAATGACCTCCACCTACCTTCGAATTCCACGAATAGTTGACAAACACACCACTCTAAGGTTTATACACCTTTTCCATGGAAAGAACGACTTACGCTAGCTTAGCTAAAATTACTTGGACGTACAATGCTCACGGAAAACATTTTTAGAGCTCCAGGCTGTACGATTAAGCTACTAAGAGCCAAAAAATCGAAGTTGCACAGTTTAAATAAAACCGTATACCTAACTGATTTTTTTAAAGTGAAGAGCGTAAGGAAATATACAACGCCCACACAGGAAAATTACATATTTAGTGAATAATTAAAGCGTCGGCCTTCGAGCGTGTGATTGTGTTGATAACTCAGTGCTCCCTAATCGGCATCATGAACCTATAGGTATGTGACATCACACCTCGGTGATGCCATCTCTGCGGTAATTCCTTTATTTTCATCACTTTTTTTTGTCGTTTCACAAATATTTTCAGAGATTTATCCTCTCTCCCCGTGCCATTTGCATAACGATCTTAGAGAGAATATGTTGCTTTGGCAATTGGAAGTCGCTAAGAGTCAAAGTGTGCTACATTAGCGCGTTAATATTTTCACGTAGGGTTAAACCATTTACATTGGATTTCAGGAAAACCATATCAACATGAAGCAGAATCCCACCCATATGTTGAAAGATAGAATGAGAGAATGACTTCATTTCATGTACTTTCAATGACTTTTTTAATTACAAAAAATTGTAAAATGCTCAATAGAACAATATAATAAAATATTTAATATTCTTTATGTCTTTATAAGCATAGTGACATACTCGTGCATGGCTAAAATGACGTCAGTACGACAACATAATTATCGATCGTCATAGAGTGATTAAATTCATAACCAGGAAACCGAAATTTTCACCAAAAACGTAGTGTCAAACTGCATTTTTCAGGTTGAGAATACTCTCGCACATGGTGAAAACAAAAACCCATTATCGCAAAATCTACACACAAGGACACTGAATTTCAGACATCAAAATATAAAAAGACAGTTCCCGCTCGATCTTGAAATTATCAAACATCCATATGCAGAATTCCACACACATTTCTATTGTGGAAGCACGAGACATGTCGGTCTTTCAATCGTGTGTAGTGTCTTATGTGACTTTTAGGTCGCTGTGTGCTCACTGTAAAAGAAATTAACTGCATAAGGCTCTCCAAGTTTGTATTTGTCTGCGAATTTCCGGCTGGACCATTTTGCGCGGCCCCAATCATTCCTTGAAAAAAAAAAAACGTAGCATCATAGGTAATCGTTCAATCAGTGTTCTAACAAAACATCATACTTACACATTGACGGCGGATCTCCCAATCTCCGCTCCAATTTTATTTTACTTTTTTAAGAAGAACAAAGAAACGTCATTCCTTGAACTTTTCATCGAATTTACCCCACGCAGACGCGCAGAGGAGAAAAATTACGGATCTTCTTAGAAAAAGAAGCTGAATAGTTTTTATTTTGAAAAATGATGTATGACTAAGTCTATGCGACGTTCCAAACCGAGAAACGTGGTTTGGGAATTTCTTTGTCGGCATACTGCCGTTATACCGAAGAGAGCTGTAAGTACATTTCTGTATGAGCCATAGTTAGCACATGATTTTATTTGTCTCGAAGCTCATCCCAGCATGCACTTATACTAATCTCTTATTCGCTATCACTGCTGTATACGTTGCTCATATATGGCGCTCTTGCACTTAGCGACTCCTAAATAATCGATTTTTTTATAACATTCAAATGGAGAAAAGACAGTGTTTGCAACTTTCAAGAATTGCCACTAAGGTGGGACGTTCCCGCAACAAAGTTTCCCATTCTGTGATCTATTTTGATGTTTTTTCAAGTGAAATGACATGCATCTTAAAAATAATGTTCACAGTGCCCGTTTTTCATTCTGCAGGTTTGTATTGCAATGAGCTTTATTTTATTTTTTTCAAATCGATTAACGCATGAGCCTAATTTCTCAAGCTTCCGTTTTTATTTTTTGTTGGAGTAATACATTATTTTTCAAAAATTTCTAGCATAGGTACAAATTATATTTTTTTCCACCTCAGAAGTAAAATTGGGACAGAGATTTTGATATATTTCAATTGAGCCGTGTGTTCTTTCAGTTTCGACATCAATGTATTATAAAGCAATCTCATTCCTACAGAACAATTTAGCTACAGTATAATCATCGTCAATCGATAGAAAATGTTGTTCGCTGAAAAACATCTGTATCCGACACGTACCTGCAAGTTAGTCGAAACTCCTTAAAGTCAATTTTCATTTTTTGCTCATAGACTAAGAGCAGGTATCGATGAAGTCCTGTTGAAAAACAATTAATACGACGTGAAACATTTAGTTAGCACATGATAATATCAAGTAAAGCATAATGAAGGAGAAAAACGGATTGCCGTACTCCAAGGCATCATAAAATAATGAAATGAAGTTTAAATAATTAAAAATAATTACGCTCAAAGTTCTGGGATACAAATGTAATTTACTTCATGGTCTCATTTTAGTTAAGAAAATCTTGTGTTTCTATATTTTTTCTTCTTTTTTTTGGGGGGGAGGGGGATAAAAATGGTAATAATGTTTACCTGTGTCTTTTTTCGGTAAAACAGGATAATATTCAGCTATGTGTTCTGCTATGGCAAGGTTATCTTCTGGCATGTTTCCAACTATCCAGTGAAGAAATTCTCTTTTTGTCGGCACTGCTTTGGACGGCTCATCGAGACCTTCAGAAAGATTTAGAAGAGAAGACTGAAAAATTGGCGACAGAGAGAAATATTTGAGACTGAACAGGTTCTGGCTCATGTTATTGTACGCATTAGAACAAATTAGAAGAAGGTCTGAGCGCATTAAGAAATAAATCCAACTAATAGTAAGCAAACTTATTTTAGGTTGATTCTCCTAAAAATCACGTTGAACACAACAAGGATAGCTAACATCTACTCTTGATCACGGTATTCCCGTTGTACGTACGACGTTTTTTCAATCTGATTGCGTCCACAGCCCATGTGAAAAGTAAATTGAGCATATCGCAAAATATCATAAGTCGTTCTCACACAGGATTTTGATCGATTTAAAACAACTGTTTCTTCTTTATCAGAGACAAAGTCAAGAACCTATGCTCTAAAATCATAGATATAACCTGTTCAAAAGAGTATCCGAGAAGAGGTTCGGAGTTCTTTTATTCTCTAGGATTCAATGTTAAGGAAATTCAGCCCATATTATCCCGTTCGATGAATTTTCGTCGAAAGGAAAGGGGCCTCTTGAGATCATCCAAACTAATGCTGAATTTTGTATTAAAAAAATGTAGTTTGCTTTTTCAAGCTCAGTTCAGTTCGCTCAATTCAATATTTCCGGGCAAAACTATCAATAAGCTGAAATACTTAAGTTTTTCTCGTGATCTTGGTTCATTAGAGACAGCCCTTAAAGTTTATTTAGTCACTTACTGCTGTCGCTTAGAAATTCCACTCACCTGTCATAACGATGCAGTAGTAAGAGTTCGGTTTGAATTTGAATTCAATTGCATGAGGGGCCCACCGAACTTGTTCTGGTCTTAATAAATTCCCCATGTCTGGTTCAACGGAACCATGGAAAGTTATCTGAAATCACATCGTTCGAATATGTGAATGGAGATTCGATTTCCTTCGGAAAAATTTATTTGTACCCTTAAATTGAAATACAGACCCTAAAAAATAATTTGGGCTGTATGGTTTGTTTTATTTTATTCATTCGAATAAGCATGTTTATTGACTGTTACTTCTTGCATTTTTGGAAAGGCAAAAAGGCACTTTAGAATTAGTTCACAAAAAATTATTTAGGAAACTATATATAAACCTAAAAAGTCCGATTTCAAATTTGCGTATTTTGAGCTCACATTCGAAGGCGCTTTGCTAAAGAAGACAGGATGATCTCCAAAAATATCCGTAATATCGCGGTCACTTGAAAATCACTCAATGCTTCTTGTTTTCCTCGAATGTGGTGATTGCTTACGTAGTCCTTGCAGAAACACTACACATAAGACAAACGGCACCAACACAACATAGGAATATAGCGAGGAAATGAACGCGCGTCGATGACGGCGCAGAGATACAACTATTCGTGCTTGATGGATGTGCTCGTTGTATCTACAAAATTGAAGGCGCCATGGCGTGAAGCATGAACTCGCAAAGCTCCGGCATCCGCTCTCTGCCGTCAATGAGGTGTCGCTAAGATTCGGGAGAGATGTTAAAAAATGAGGCCTGAATTCGTATTTCCTTCCGCCGGCTGTATTGATCCTCAATCTGTTTTCTTTTTTGTCGATTTGATGTCTGATTCTTTCTTCCGGATGTATTTGGAGGCCTATATCGAAGGCTTATAAATAACAACCCAATAAAACTTTCGGTCTACATGTTATTAGTTAGTCTCGGGTCAATTTGACCCGGTTTGGGTATCTAAGGGTTAAACTACACATCCTTGGACTCTTTTTTTGTGAATATGTATAACTCAGAAAAAATTAAGGAGAACCCCCCGGAACCGAGTGCCTCTTCTTTTTAAAAATTCAAGACTTAAAAGTTACTGAACGAGCTCATTTTTGTTTGAAATATCATGAAAATTCTTCAAAATGATGGTCAAAACTTTAGAAAACTTTATTTACACATACACACCTAATACTTGGAAGGAAAGAATACTCACAAAAGCTTCATATTTTGGAGGTTTGATAATGAACTCCGGGATGATTCCATTACGAATAAGATCAGCTCGGATTGTTGCATCCGTCCTTGGGAGTCGATCGTTCCAACCCATTCCATGGTGTTGACTGGTGCACTCAAACTCGTTTTCCTCTGTTCCAGTGTATGATGGTACGTCCACATACTCATCTGATTCTGCACATGTCACCCGATTTTTGGGGATGATTGCTGACACCCAAAACAGAGAGAACAAAATCATCAGTGTGAATGAGAATTTTAACTGGGGCTTAAGGTTTACCATGTCCTCGGAAATAAAACATGAAGCACCAGATGGAAACAATAAATCGGTGATAAAAAAAAAAACGAAAATTAGGTCTCCGTTGCTTACGTCATAAACTGTATGCTCCAGCCCCTTCCCTCTCGTCGTGTTACAAAGTGCCCGTAAGATTTACACGAAATTTTATGGAGAGCAACCTAAATATGTGTAAAGGGGAAAAGTGAATTTTGAAATTATTCGAAATAAATAAAATTCGTGAGAGGTTATTTTGTTCAGCTATATTGAACGAAATTGTATCGATGAACTTCATTTTCATTTCAACATATGATGTATCGTTTTATGACAACGGTAATTGTGAAGAAACACAAAGAAACTATAATTTTCCCTCATTGGTTAATACACAAAATAAATCATGCAATAGTAGTGTTACCGGAAAATATTTTGAATTTAAAAATAGGCAAGAAGACTCCACCCCATTGTTGTCATGTAGGATCGAGACACTTTCCACTAACGGTACTCTAAAAAAACTTCTTATCAACCTCATCACTCATCAGTCTAAAAGAAATATTGACTAAAACTATTCTTGTGCATTCTTGGTGTTCAAATAATAGTATTTACATGCTGTGGAGCCCGATAATGGACTCCTTTAGTCGTGACGTCATGACATCATTGCCTCCAATAACCGTTTCACTTTCATTTCCAAACAGAGATTACCTGTCTCTCTCGTTCTCACAAGGCCCTAATGTATTGCTATCTTACTTTGATTCCGAAATTCGTGAAACGAGCGTTTTTGCTCGAATAGGTCACTTGACAAGGTACAAATTTCAGCATTCTGATACATATTTCTTAACCAAAATTTCACGTAAAACACGATACGCACAACAAAAATCACCGAAATTAACTCCTTACGAACATATTTAATGATTCTTGGTGTGTAAATTCAAACCACCCGCTCATGAAAACTCAATACTCTGCGTGATTCACATCGTCGCTAAACGTTATCATGACAGTCTCTTGCGATATAAAAATCTGGCAACCCCAATCTTGACGCTTTGGCTCAGCTATAGCAAATTGCTTACGGTTTGAACAACACATGGTGGGAAACGAACATTACTTGATTGACAAGCTTGCTGAAACCGTTCTAGTGCACGATTTGACTCACGTAGAGCTGAAAAAAGCTCGAAAGACTGGCCTGCGTCTGGAGTTTGGCATATTCATAGTCACCCTGACCGGTGCAAGTACTTCAGACTTGGGGTATTAACATTTCTTTTAAAATATTGATGGATTGTCCTGCGTCCTGAAGTGGACATATTCGTAGTCACCCTATGCTAGAAATACTTCAGACAGAGGGTGTTGACATTTCTTTTAAAAACACGAGAGGCTTGTGAGATCAATGATAGAGAATTAGTTTTCATAATACAAAATCGAGAATGATTTAATGTTTGCAAAATATTTTTACTCGTCATCCTTGTCCACTCCTTAAGATGAAACATTTCCCCTCCTCGTATATAGTTCATTCCTCTACATAATCGCCTGAAATCGGGATTAAATATGCTCCCTCTGCCGGTGACGTCATCAATTTAAATTGCAGTTCTTACATGTATGTATGAAGAAATAGCTTTTACATCGCACTAGGGCACGCTGCGACACCTTACCGACCGGAATCTGCCAAGACACAGATCTTTTGGACGCTGCATGGCATCGTTCCATCTTTTTTTGAACGCCACCCATCCACCTTTTTGCTGGACCCCCTCTGCGACGCTTACCTGGCAGGATCCACCCGAAAACATTTTTTGGAAACCTGGTCTCGGTCATTGCAACGGGTGGGGGTTGGCTTTGGGCATAAAAAAGGGAGGGGTGCTAGCCACAAAACGAATACGAAAAAAAATCAACTGAATTGTTTAGATTCTGGGGAGGAAACCTACCAAAATCAAAACACGACGACAATTCACCACCGCATCGTATGGAATTTGCGGAACTAAGATAAACTTATTTGGTTTAAGTAACTCTAAGTGAGAGGAAGGGGGAATAAGCTACAATCTGTAAACTCACTTTACGGGATTTGCTTGGCCACATTGATTGTAATCCTAGGGAAATAATGGACCTATCGTGGATATGTCGCAGGCAATTAGTCAAATCAGGCATTTAGTCAAATGCCTAGGCAAATGGTCAAATTTTACCGAAAACCCACTTTGGCTATTCGCCTAGGCAGTTGATAAAGTGCCTAGGCATTTGATAAAGAGCCTAGACATTTGACTAAATGCCGTATGGCCTTTAGGCAAATAGTGAAACTCGTTAAAAATCAGGCAAATAGTCAAATTAGCAATTAATACGAACAATTTACTCACCGAAGTCATTTGTTGGAGCAACTAAGCTGATGGTGGCATCTTGAGGAGCATTTGACGTTGTTCTTGAAGCACAGACAACAGACAACGTCGAGTACCACATTGTTTTTTGCTTGGCTTACAGGAACACTTCATAACACCTTGGCCACCAAACATAGAGCCGGCTGCAACCGCCTCACGGATCGATATGAATTTTTCTCGCGGAATTTGTGAAAAGTCGAAATCAACGTAGTCGATTCGTCGAAGGTCAGGTCTGGCGCACCAATTTTTTATGATTCCACCAATAGTTCCGACTTGGTAAACTCCGTTACGAATATCTGTTACGAAACCTTGTACATTCTGATGATCAAGAGGCCCTCTATCGACTTTTGGGACGGCTAAAATAACTTTGTCTTCTATTTGTAAATCATCAAACAGTTTTTCACTTGATTCTGCCATGCCAGCTGCTGCATCTTTTTGCCTTTCATGAGTTTCAGAACGTGTCTGACGAATTACTATTTCATTCTGGCATAAGTTACAAAGGAAGGTAGGGGATGTTTGCCCGTCTTCGAGGGTAGTTTGCCCACATTGTGCATGGCAGACATTAGGACATGTCGAACACTGTTCAGTTTTACCACCTGTCTGACAGTTACAGCAAGGGACATCATTTATGTCATCTTCCAATCTAGCAGCTTTTTCTACAGGTGCATCCGATGGTTCCGGCTCATTTGAATCCCTAGAGCGTTTTCTTTCTTCATTCCCTTTGTTCTGCAAGTTTTCCAAATCTTCTTCAGTCGTTTATTTAGCAAGAATGGAGGATGGTATATTGGTGCTTCCAAGACCCATTTTCGGTTCCGAACCAAACAGAGCCGTGTACGGTGATCGGTTCAAAATGCGATGGAAGGAGATATTTTTTTGCCACTGTACAAAATTAAGTCCCATTGACCATTGCTTGGTCTTATTGTCAGTCATCCAGGCCCTCAACATATTTTCCGCAACAACACTGAACGTTGACAAATGGATGCTCACTCCACTCAGCCCCGGTCAGAATACTCTCTGGCCCCGGTCCGTTCATTTGACTATGTGCCTGATCACCTCTCGGCATTTTGTCAAATGCTCAGGCATTTAATAAAATGCCTAGGCATTTAATCAAGCGCCTAGGCATTTAGTCAAATGCCTAGGCAAATAGTAAACTTCGTTAGTTTCTTACATTTCTTGACTATTTGCCTAGGCATTTGACTAAATGCCTGATTTGACTAATTGCCTGCGACAGATATAACGACATCTACTTATTATGAGGGGAACTAACTAATACACTCACTTTTCTGCGTGATTGAAATTTGTTGTACTTCTCTTTTAGGTTCAAAAAATGCCTTTTAGTAGATTCATTCTAGAAACAAAATTGATGTCTTGTCAGCAAGTATAATCACTTAATGATAAATGGTACGTATCTTCCTAACTGTGCAGACCACGAATTATGTATATCATCAGTTCTCCCCGTAAACTCCCTTAAATCGGTTCATTTGTGGGAGCTGTGTATATTTTGGTCGACCGGTGATCTTCAGGGGTTGTAGTGGGGGTTAAGTCAACAAATTCACTGTAGAAGAAATTAACTGCGTGCGGCTCGCCTAGCTTGTACTTTTCAGCAAATTTCCGGTTTGACCAATTCGCGCGGCCCCAAGAATTTCTGAAAAAAATACCCAAAAATCCAATGGTGATCAACATATTAATGGAATATAGCGGGATGAATATCATTTGGACCGCGTCATAAGCAAGAGGAGCCGAGGCGCATCAGTTTTTACCAAATTTGTTCGGGAAAAATAATTTTTCACGTGGAAACGGCTGTGCGGATTTTTGTGCAGATTTCAGAGAATTTTCTGCATTATACGAAGCAAATTCCTTAAAAATTTCAAAGGAATCCGTACAAACGTCCTCTTGGTAAGAAATTAAATTGCCCAGTTAAATTTGGAAATAGCTGATGTGGGTAGGTTCCTTTCTGCTAACGCGGTCCATTTTAGAAAGCTTCAACTTCCTTTCTTTCGATGCTTGAGAACAGAAGTAAACTTGCTGACCGTATACTTCCTCTGCAAAAATCGAGTCAAGGGCGTTTTGGAAATATTCGATAACGCTTCTGTGTGTAAAGAAAATTCGATAACCCTATCATATGTTGGTCATGACTACTGTAAGACATGGTGCCTAAAAATTGCGATTTACATTGAAATCAATGAAGCCGACCTGCGGTTCTCCCTATCTCGAAATGACTAAAATGTATAGTCAGGGATCTATTGACTCTGGAGTACGAATATATCATTTTTATTAAAATAACCACTATCACTCTCCTTTTTCCGTTTAGGTGATGGAATATAATAAAAAAAGAGATGCTGATGCTGAATTCCACAGGATGCCCCTGGTTAAAATGATTTGAGGGCCGTTTTTTATTAGACTCTGATTGGATCTAAACCGGGTTTCTTTTGTTTTTACCAGGGCTGAAGCAGATCAACCTATTTGCTTAGGATCAGCTAAACTAACGTTTCCTCAGCTCTGAAAATTCTGGATTCATTTCATCACTATATCGCACCTGTTAGTGAGCGGAGGCTCCTTAAAGTCAATTATTCCTTTTTGTTCATAAACGAGAAAAAGATATCGATGAGAGCCTGCAAGAAAAAGAACAGAGACTGTTTAATGTAAAATAAAATATAGAACATTATTTCATACACAACATGTTCACGATGAAGTTAAGTCAACTAGTCATAATGTAATTTTAAGCATTGATGTTCAGTGTTAAGATGTATTGAGTTCGTTATGTATTGCATAAAATATATCCGTATTTATGTAACGCGAGCAGATCATTTGGTCCGTGACAGTAACATTTTTCCGGCAGGCAAAACCACCCAAGAAAATCATTTTGAACGAAGAATGTAGGGAGATACTAAAGGTTGAGCTCAACGCCAATCGGACTCAGATATGTTTCTCGAAAATTTACTTCTTCTTTACACGGCATTTCCTGCACTTTAGTTTCCGTATGAAACCTAGGAATACATTTGTTGATAAAAGTGTGCTAAATATTCCAAATCAATTTTCAGAAGAAATAATTGTGATCACATCAGTCGTACCTTGAGTTCGAAAAGGTTTGATAAAAAATACCGTCCTTTTGAGTGATAAAAACAACAGACTTTTTCGGTCCTAAGAATTTATTTTCGGTATCTATGACCGAAAACTTCAGTTACCTGAGTCAAAAATAAAGTTAACAGATTGTGCGATATATTGCGGCTATATGTTGCAGGGTCTATGAGAAAAATTCTGATTTATCAGCATTATTAAGCAACAATGACCAAACAAGTTCAGTGCTCAATATGAACTGAAGTTAGGCATCATTAATATAACTTTTTTTGTGCCAGAAAAAAGGGGGTTCGACTTAGTGACACTTTTTATACTATTAAAAGTAAAATCGCATGTTCTACCTCTTTTTTTTAGAGAATTCAAGAAGTACGTCCACTTAGGTCAAAAAAGGAAAACCAACCATCATTTATCGAACGAATCTACGTTGTTTTATACACGCGTGCCCGACTCTAAAGCGATACAAATGAAAACGATTCTTACCGGTGTCATTCTTCGGTAATACTGGATAATACTCAGCTAAATGATCTCCGGCCAGCAGACTATCAGCTAGAATGTTCCCAACGATCCAATGAAGAAATTCTCTCTTGGTTGGCGTTGCTTTGGATGGCTCGTCGAGACCTACATTTACACAAATTAAAATATTTCAAACTAAAGGTAAAATGTATGAAACTGAGCACAAACTCAGTATCAATGAGGCTCGAGCAAGCTGCAACTCAATCCACTTTATGATTTTAATCGTTAGACTAACGCTAAGAAGTATGTTTTCAATCATTATTCCAATGGTACTGACAATCAAATTGATCGGAAAGGTGTTGACAGCGATCATAGATTTCAGTACTCAAAGTGCGCTCATAGCAGTTTCAAATGAAGAAAACTGGCTATACTCATCTGAAATTAACCGTAAAATAGAGGTGAGTTTCGGAAAGGAGGACTATTTGGACCGTTCTTCTCGTCAAAGGGATAAAACTATCATTTAATCGACGTTTTGCCGGTGATGTTGAACGGCTAGGCCGTGATCAAATTTAAGAGCAGCGCGCCTTCAGTTTCGGTGCATGCAACACGGATTGTCTCAGACCACGAACAGTTGCATCAAGGCGTTGGCGAATTTGAGCGCCGCGTCTGCGTCCGGCAAGCGAGATACTGACTGAGGACGTCTTTGTTTTGCGATTAAAATGATTTAGGAGATACTCACACTCAATTTCAAACGTATTTACAATAATTCATCCATTTCCTTTGAAACAGCTGTGAACATATTCCGGACAATCAGACCGGAATACGCAATTACCCCCTTGACAGAATCTTTGTAACCTAATTTAACTTTAACCAGCAGTTCAATGTCGTTTTTGTTATAAGATTTGGTAATCAAAATCGTCACTTACCTGTCATGACAATACAGTAGTAAGTATCGGGTTTAAATTTGTAGGTAACTGTGTGAGGAGCCAATCGAACTTGTTGCGGTTTTAAAGTATTTCCCATATTTGGTTCGATGCCATCGTAGTAAGTTATCTGAAAATTACGCTTTTGTATCAGTGAGAATACCTAATTATATGTGATACTCAGCTCTCATATTAAGCTTCTTTTAGGCTTTCTTGTATTAAGTAGGGTAGAAACTAGAATACAAACTGAATCAACAGATTGAATAGACAGCACTGGAAAAAAACACATCGGATCAAGAGTCCAGACTGATAAAAAAATCGACAAGAAAAAATACTCTTGATTCAATCGGATTTAAGCTTAAATCGAGAACCCAGCCTCTTAATTTGAGCGGATTTCCTTTTGATTTAAGCTTAAATCTGAATGAATAAAGAGTATTTTTTCTTGTCAATGTTTTCAAGAGTCTGGACTCTAGATCCAATGTCTTTTTTTTCCAGTGAGATTGAATTGGATGCTGATATAGCTTCACGTCGGTTGATTCGCTTCAAAATGGTGTATCAAATTTTTACATCTTTTCCAGCCTCAAAAAATATACTCTAAACGAAAAATAGCCTTTGAGCTAGGCAGGCAGTGGCGATTCTTGAAACTTGGCAACACTGTTATTGCTCCATTTAAATACATTGAAAATATAGTTTCTAGGTTGGGCAAGCTGCTCACCAAGAATTGATTGTTTTACATACATTTAATTGGAGGGAAAACAGTGTTTCCAACTTCCAAGAATCGCCAGGCAGGACTGACGGCAGGAGAACGCGTCGCGGAGCGTGATCAGCGTATTCACTAGATGTTCCCCCTGTAATCCTCTTTGCGTGAAAACAAATCCATTATTTTTCACGAAACAATGGAGGATTTTTACGCACACTGGGAAAAAAAACACATTGGATCTAGAGTCCAGACTCTTGAAAACATTGACAAGATAAAATATTCTTGATTCAATCGGATTTTTGCTTGAATCAAAATGAAACCTGCTTAAATTAAGAGGCTTAGTTTTTGATTTAAGCTAGATTCAGATTGAATCAAAAGTACTTTTCCTTGTCGATGTTTTTAAGAGTCTGGACTCTAGATCCAATGTGTTTTATTTTTTTTTTTTTTTCCAGTGCATTTTTTTTTTTTTTTATTGCTTCATCTGAAAATGCCTGAAGAGCTGTTTGTGCAGTATTTTTTATAGTTTTTTTTTGGAAAATAGTATAAAAATAGATTTGAAAGTGAGAGATTGCACCACCTGGTGACGTCATCTAGTGGCATTCCCCATTTAAACATGTTTATTTCAGCAGAATAGGTTATTTGGTCGTATCTCCTCCAATAGTTGTTCAATTTACGAACCAAGGGTATCCTCGCGTTCAGCCCACTTGGTAGCGTCCACTTGAACTCGGAATGCATTAAATTTCAGACACAAGCAAATTCTCCATTGTGAGAACATTATATTTTTTTAAATCGTCAAAAAAGTCGTGCGAAAGTGCATACACTCTTGGTTTTCGCATTCGATCAAAACGTGACCGAGCGTTTTTTACGTCATTAACCGAGATTCGTATATTTTTACGTCTAACATGGATATTTCTGGTAAAATCATATCAAAATGTGCTTAAGATACTTACAAAAGCCTCGTATCTCGGGGGAATGAGAAAAAATTCCGGAATAATTTCATTCCGTATTAGATCCGCCCGGATCGTTGCTTGTGTGCGGGGGTGTCGAATGGGGTAAGTTTCCTCATTATACTCCGCGGTTGGCTCGAACTCGTTTCCCCTCCCATCCACGTTTCTATGAAATGGTTCATCCTCGTTCCCGTAAGGCGACGCCCAATTCCGAGGCACGATCAGTGCCACCAAAAACAAAATGAACTCACTAGAACCTGTTCGGGTAGAACTGTTGATGCGTGGCATAGATTTTGTCAACTTTTTCATCACAATAAACTACAAATGACATGATATCACACATGACATAGTCACATCATACGTTTGAATGAGACGTACCCAGTAAATGAAAATCACATTCATATAATACACGGTGTCTTATGGTCAGAGAGAATTTTAAGGACAGTAAACTAATAAATTAAAATTAATTTGCATCTACTTTCACAACCACACTGAAAAAAGCCTTCTTGCCAAAAACTAACTTTTGTTTGATGTAGAAAAAAATAACCCTGTAACGATGGCACTGCTCGATGTGTAATGTTTTTATTTCTCACTTCATTAATTCTGCACCACTTTCGATAAAATATTTATATTTAAAAAAAAATTGAATAAAACTTGCTGAAAAGGAGACGTCTGTACAAAGAATCTGGTGAGAGTGACCCTTCAGCTTCCTCAACAAAGTCCTTTATTTCCAATTATCTTATCAGATGAATTTTTTTGATAGGCACGATGTCTGGACAGACAATTTGACGGAAGGAACGCAACAACAAAACCCAACAATTTAGTTTACGTTTATTCAATTACTAACTCGTGTTAAAGAAGATATTTGTGTGGAAATTAAAATGGACTGAAGAAGTGTGTTGGTTTACAATTTTTTTGTCAAAAATAATTTTTCATCAGCTTATTTAATCAATGTTAATTTTAAATTAATAAAGTCCTCACTGTGCAATGTCTGCAGCAAGTCAATAGTGCCTTCATAATTTTATAAATGTGAACTTGCAGTGTTTTAATATATTTAGTGCAACATGCAAGTCTAAAAATAATTATTACAACATAAATAAAAAAAACACTCACGATGGATAAAATACGGAAAATGGCCAAAAAAGTTTAAGTCAGACGGACGAACCGCTTGTGTTAATTTAATACGGCCTCAAGTTGAGCTTATTTGTAACCAAAAGTGCTTGGTAGAATTTCAAAATAATTTGCCTCCAATTAGGCTTCAGATTTTTATTTCAAGATTTTTCAATATACTTGATAAAACGTGTAAAGTTTTCTGTTGTATTACAGAAATTTGCGCGAAACTATGACATTTCAAATAAGGTTAAGTGCGATAAAGTTAGTTTTCTTTAGCAGCATTTCATTCGTGTATTCAGACCTTGGACCATACATTATTAATCCTACGCCTTATCATCCACTTATCCTTAAATCTCAAAAGGAAATGAACGAGTCACTGACTTACTGGGAGTTTTTCCCAGATATTCTTGATGAAGTTCCACCTCATGTTTTTCAGGTATGAAGTTGGCAACACTGGATTTCGTTTATTTAAATGTATTCAAAATAATCGATTTTAATCGATTTTAGGTGAGGCAGACTGTTTCTTTTAGAATCGATACATTCAATGGATTTGAATTTAGAAGTCACAGCGTTGTCAACTTGCTGGAATCGCTACTGATAAGACTTTTGTTGTTTTCTCGAGCAAAATCTCCCTTGGGAGAAAAAACTTTGAGAGAGTTTCTCTTTTTCCTCACAATTTTGGAATTCTAGCAGTGGTTGTCAAAAAAAATTCCCTGAATTGTCACCAATCTTTCCAAAATACCATATTTTTAGATTCTCGAGAGACCTCTATTTTTATTTTATTTTATTTTTTTTCAAAATTATTATTATTTTGGATACGTCATATCATATTTCGAGCAAACTTAACCTTAACTGTTCTCAGATTTCAAAAATAAGAGATATCTCAAAATATGCGTTAATGCGCCGACGCATTAGAGGTACATCTGCTACTGCTCAATAGGTCTCCGTGTTGCGACTACGAAATGGACGTATTTCTACCAAACAGACCTATGTGGAGGTGAGAAATATGGGGTGTGCTCGTTAGTTCTCTGGCCGTATAAGAGTGAATGAGAATAATAAAGTGCCAGTGACGTCAGCGGCGACGATGGAGACTCCGAGCCGCGGATCCGTGTCTTTAACTCATGAGCCCTGTCCACAACGCTCTCTGCCATGCCCGTGGCTCATGAGTTCCGCATTCAGTTGGCACATAGGTCTGTTTGATAGAATGTAATATCCCGCTTTTCCAATTCTTCAAAAGGAATCACGCCCACTTTTACATTGCTTCTTATGTAGCTTTCCAGAGCATACCCTATATTTCTCACCTCCACATAGGTCTGTTTGGTAGAAATACGTTCAAATGGAGATGTTGCATGTGTGAGGGATTTGCGATGTGACTGTTAATTCTTATGTAAAAGTTCGTGAGGAACACGATGGTGCCACTGGTTTTCTCTGAAATCATCTCCCAAGCTCAAAAAAAGCTCTCAAGTTGAGGCCAAAATGGAGGGGATATCCTATGCTATCCTGAGATTCCACCTTTACATCAAGACAAACTCTCCATGCAAAGATAGGGAGCAAATACATTAGCAGGGTTGCCGTGTTTTCAGTTTTGGAGTCCCCAAATGAATTGGCAGCCCTGTCAATGTATTTGCTCCCTATCTTTGCATGGAGAGTTTGTTTTGATGTAGAGGTGGACTCTGAAGGTAGGGTGGGATATCCCCTCCATTTAGGCCTCACTTTGAGAGCTTTTTTTGAGCTTGGGAGAAGATTTCAAAGAAAACCAGTGGCACCATCGTGTTTCTCGCGAACTTTTACATAAGAAACGACAGTCAAATCGCAAATCCCTCACACTCACACATGCAACATCTCCATTGGAGGCGTGAAGTCACGAAATTCCGCTCTGCTGGCAATGATGTATCGCTCAGATTCGGGAGGACCGTTAAAATACGAAGCCCAAATACGTCTTGCCAATGTCCGGCTAAGTTGGCACTCGATTTTTTTCCTTTTTTCAATTTGATATTTGATTCTTTTTTTAGGGTGTGTTGCAGCAATACGTGCCTGAAGTTGGCATGTGCCGGCTCCATAAAACCTGCGGGTCACGTGTTTTTAGCGAGTCTCGGGTCAAGTTGACCTAGCTTGGATATTTAAGATTTAAGATACACATTTGCACATGTATTAACCTCACTCTCATTTTGATTTGTAAAGAGTTATGCTCCTTTTTGTCAAGCTGCAGATCTGAGAAACGGAAAATATGAAAAACTCGCTGTCACTGACCTCCTTGCAACACATTTTCACTCTAAATTTTCAATCAAAGGGAATGTATAAAACTGCTATCCATTTTGCAGGCCTGGTTTAGAGGGGACCGACGAGTTAATTTTGGAAACAAATTCACCATTCTTCACACGGACACGCCACCATATAATTTGTCTTGGCCAGTAGAAGAAGGCGAATATTATCTTTTCCATCTGTTCGGTAAATTCACACATCTGCTTCGACATTAGTGAAATAGAACTTTGAACTGGGAATGTTTGAAAATATGAGGGAGGGCGCATTGTGGGTATGTGGGCTTAACTTAAAATGAGAAATATGTACTGTTGGTGCGCAACTTCCTTAAAAATATTTTAAAGAATATCATTACCATTAGGAAACACCATTAGAGTTTCAATAAGTATGCAAAAAAGTATTGTCTGTCAACAACATCATACTTAAAGGAAAATGAAGATCTAATACTCACATTTTGAAAACCTTATTCTAAAAATTGAGCCAAAGGTCTTGTAACACCCAACAAATTTGATTTGGCAATATTTCCTGCGAGCTTAGTCATAGGCCAGCCATTTTGACTACTCTTACCACGCTTATAAATCGAGATTAACAACTACAGCCTCCAATAAGTCACTCAAAGTAAATGCAACGATACTTTTAAATGACTGATTTTTCCTTGCGATTGTCTTTTTTAGTTCTCAGACGAAGCAATATAAAATGGCGCAGAACGAATACGTACGTTATAAGATTTGTCTAGGCTTGTTTCTTTAATTTTATCCGAATTTCTTTTCAAATAGATCCTGACGTTCCGAGTAAGCGAGATCCCAAGCTACGTGAATATAGGCATTGGACAGTCGCAAATATTCCAGGGACAAATGTGGAAAAGGGATACGTACTAGCAGAATATATTGGACTTATACGAAATCACACAAAAGACAGTGAGTGATCTTATTTTTTAAATAATATCTCATGCAAGGCATTCATAAACCCCTTTGACATCCAGGACAGTAGAAAATTACCATTTCAGGGCAGTTGTGTTATTGTACAATTTTTCACTGCTGAAATTAGAATTTTGAAGGAGTACTTTAGGAAATGAAAAACAATCACAGTTGAGTGAATCGTCTTTACTATAAGCTCTCTGGCCCCCTAAATTCTCATTTTGTATTCTTGCTCAGAGTTCACTCCACCGCTGTGTGCCAATTTTCATGATTTTTGAGGCTATCGACAGGTGATAGTCCCTAAATGAGCCTTCTCTACTCAGGTTTAGAGATGTAATCGAATTTTTTCTATATTACGAGATGAAATTCTGAATCTTTCCCCATTTAAACAATCTATGTATATGTTCATTTTTTGTCAAAGTTCGCTCTAGATAAAGATCTACGAAATCGATTTACAAGAATTTTACGACTTTCGATAGGAGATAGTCCCTAGGATCGACTGACAAAATCTTTTTAGATTCACTCACGAGGGCCCGGTTTTTAGACGGCGTTTAGCCTTTGAGAGTTGACTGCAGAAAAAGGGTGCATTGAGACTTCAAAGCCGCTTTCATTCTGCAGGATTGGCAAAAGCGTGCGCTTAGGAGCTGCAACAGTGGTATTTCGAAACAAACCGCTCACCACACTAGCATTGAAAATTGTTATCGTATATCATGTCCCTCTTCTCTTTTCAGTGCTTCATCGGAACGTTTTTGTTCTATACAAGCAACCAGAAAAATTGGAATTTGACGATGTCGTAATCAAGCGCGAGTAAGTAAATTTTAAATTAAAAACATTTTGACTAATATGCAACTTAAGGTGTGTCTAAAGATCAACTTTATGATCACAGTATTCACATTTCAATGAATGTTCCGTATTCCATTAGGGTGAAAACGGCTGTAGAGAATATAACAATAATAGACATTTAAGTATGTTAGCGGTTTGGTTAATGGCAAAACTGCCTAAAATAGGTATTTTATTAATTCATTGAAACAAATGGCAACAGCTCGGAGAATTTCCAGAGATTTATTGAGAAATATAGGTTATCCGCCATGTCTAAACTTTATTATATTAAAAATTAAGAGTGGTGTATTATTAACTGGACGTATTTTTATCAAACGGAACTATGTGCATTATTATAACGTGAGCCCTTTTTTGCGCATATCCTTATGGGGCTCAGGGCTCATGTCTTAATACACATAGTTCCGTTTGACAGAAATACATCCAAATTAACTGTAATCCTTTAGAGTCCTTTAACCCCTCTTTCTCTTCCCCCAAAAGGGAAGAGGGATTAAAGGACAATCTGAACCTGTGGAGATAATTGTTGAAGGCTCAATGGAGATGTTGCATGTGTGGGGAATTTGCGATTTGACTGTTGATTCTCATGTAAAACTTTGCGAGAAACATGATGGTCTCACTGGTTTTCCCTGAACACAACTCCCAAGCTCAAAAAAAGTTCTCAAGTTGAGGCCAAAATGGAGGGGATATCCCACGCTATCCTAAGAGTTCACCTCTACATCAAGACAGAAGATAGGGGATAGGGATAGGGATAGGGATAGGGATAGGGATAGGGATAGGGATAGGGATAGGGATAGGGATAGGGATAGGGATAGGGATAGGGATAGGGATAGGGATAGGGATAGGGATAGGTCCTCCATGCGAAGATAGGGAGCAAATACATTAGCAGGGTTGCCGTGTTTTCAGTCGTGGAGTCCCCAAATAAAGTGGCAGCCCTGTCAATTTATTTACTCCCTATCTTTGCATGGAGAGTTCGTCTCGATGTAGAGGTGGACTCTCAGGATAACGTGGGATATCCCCTCCATTTTGACCTCAACTTGAGAGCTTTTTTTGAGCTTGGGAGTTGATTTTAGAGAAAACCAGAGGCACCATCGTGTTTCTCTCGAACTTTTACATACGAATCAATAGTCAAATCGTAGATTCCTCACACATGCAACATCTCCATTGTCCCTATCGAACTGGATATACATTAAACAGTTCTATGCGGCATTACATTTTCAATGATAACTCCTGATATTAGAAATTATCGGCCTAAACCATGCGTAAGATAGAGATAGACGGTGAAGGGCCGCAACCGCGTATCTCGTTTGCGGTGTTTGAAAATCTCCGCTCCTGTTTTATTTCTTTAAAGGAGAACAAATCAATATCATTCCTTGAAGTTTTCGCAGAATTGCTTTCGCACAGACAAGAACATAATCACAGAAGTTGTTTTAAAATTGCCGCTGAGTAGTTTTCTATTAAAAAACCAAAGTATGGTAGATAGTCTGCAACGCTGTAGGCCGAAATGCGTAGTTGCAGACCTACACCGTCGGTATAGCTTAATGGATTACTTTAGAATTGATTTACACATATTATATGTTCGCAACGAAAACAGTGGAGGACGTGCTCATCTGAATATTCGTGCTCTTTTGATTTCAGTGCACCGTACTTGGATCGGGCTTGTTTCTCACACAAAGGTTTTGCACGTGAACATCGACTGGGGAAACCAATCGCTGTCAACTTTTTCCATTAGTTCCTCTCATCGCTTCGTCAACGGTCACCTTGTTTGATAGTTTCTATTTTCATTTCCCCCTTCTGATTTCGCAGAAAATGCCTGGGATTTCTAATACTATTTGATTATATTCAACATGCAGTACAACAACACACGTTTGATCACACAACAATGATTACAACTATGAAAACCCGTATTTCGATAGTAGATCTATTCCGACATTTTTTTATGAGAGAAACATCTTACACTTTCACACGAGATTCTGAGGAAATATCTATATAAAGAGGCAAGAAAAAATTACAAACAATGAAGTTTTGAGTAAATTCACATAAATATTCATGTCTGGAAAAAATAAAACGTACCAAAAAATTTGAAATATTGCAATCAGGAATTGTAAAGTGTTGCAGTTCCAAAATCGATATTGCCTTCAAAATCAACAATGCTTGCCTTGAAAAGAGTTTTTAAATATCTTGTCTGATCTCGTGTGTTGGCATTAAATTATGCTGAATATGAGGAATTTTCCCCATATGTAATGTGAATAATGCAAATTTGACCATCAACCTAGCTATACTGAAGCATGGATTTTCTTGGCTCTCTTAATTTAAAGCAAAAACTAAATCTCAAACCTCTGTGCGAAGCCAGATTTATATATATTTTCATTTTGGTTTAATTAATTATTAATGCGTCAATTTGGAATGCAGTATTTAAAGATTGACGATCGATTCTCAATTTATTTTTATAATTGCAGTTGTTCGGCGCCCTTACTCGGAAGTAATCATACAGAGACAGCTGTTGAACTAATTGAGATCGTATCTCGGGCATTATTTGATTGTTTGATAATAAGTCTAGACGAAGTGTCACAGAAATTTGAGCGTATCGTAATATTCTGTCCATCTGAAAAAGTTACCTATATTTTATTGTTTATCACTTTTTTGTTATTTTTGAACCTCGGAGAGATAGAGGCGGGTGTGCAACTTTTGATTAATTCTGACAAAATCTATTTTCACTTTCGAGGTTTACAATTAAGTAAGTAACCAAATACAGTAAGTGTAAAATACAGCGGTGCAAAAGCGTTAACAAGGAGAGAGGTGGATTTTTCGAAGTGGAATCAAGTGTTCAATTTTGAAGTAGGTATTTCAGTTGGACGGGACATACAACATCCACTTTGTGAATTCTAGTCTTACTGTTGTGCCTTGTCATGGACCATGTGCTATTCCTCACTGGGAATCAATTTATCTTGTTATGAATGCAAAAAACTACAAATATCATCAAACAATAAGGTACATATTCTGGAGATTCTGTTCTTACCTCTAACATAGCATTAATAATACGTATATGTATAAACACAGAATACATTGATTTATTTCATAATTACTCTTAAAAACTCATCTGTGAGACAATACCTATAATTTGTGAAGTTTTTAAATTTTTCCTCTAAAGTAATAATATGCATGAACCTTTTAAAATTCAGATCGAGGAGTCATCAGAGAGCTGATAATTCTGACAGCTCAAACATTATCATTTTCAGAATCCAAATGCAGAATTCCCAGATTTTTATTTATTTCCTAGGTTCAGATATATTTCAAAAAGTTCTACGGGCCTTCACTTTGAAGGCTCTTTACAGAGTAAGTTCCAATGAAATGATTAAACTAGGGTTGCTCCAAGTTGAAAACTCTGTGTTAAAAAAGTTTTAGTCAGAATCATACATGTAGGTAAGAGTAAGATGTAAGAGAAGGAAATCAGACGAGTGCCTGCATATCATAATCAAAAATTAAAAAAATCCATTTAAAAAAATAAAGGCATTTTGTTTTGTGAACATTAATGAATATGAAAGAATGGCTGTAACTGATTTTAGATGTTTTCGATCAGTGGACGTAGAAACCTCTATACTAGTCGTCCTATTACTGAGGATATCAACCGTGTTTGGAACTGCCACGTCTTTCGCTCAAAAACCGATAGGAGAGTGCGTTAATCAGAGCAAAATTCTTCCAGATGTTATTGATACGGTTCCACTTCAGCGACTTTTTGTGAGTATTTAACAGTAATTTTAAATATTTTAAAAAATGGAGGGAAATTACTTTATCATATTATCAATGCACTTCATCTCGAACAGCTTTCTGGAAAAAAGGCAAAATCAAAATAGGTATAACAGAAAAGAAGGTGATAATCACGCAACTTTGCCGTCAAGAGCTGCAGCAATGTGATGAATATTGAAACTCAAAATGTTTTAAACTTCATAGGCTATGTCCTCATATAGCCTCGCAGTCCAACCCCCGAAACGCTTCGCGCCTCAGGTGTTATATACATTACATGCTACTCTTATTATTTTACATTAAAGAGCAATTTATACTTAGTCATGCATGATCACAATTATTATTAATGGGTTTTAAGAGGTTATTTTAGAGATATTACTTGTGTCCAATCACAATATTGATGATCAAAACTGTACGTAAGATTAAATCACCAGATCACTGTTCACTGTTATAGATTGAGTACGGTAAACATCGCGTTGACTTCGGAACGTACCTCAGTCCAATCACCGTTGAGTTCCCACCAACTAATGTTGAATGGCTCCCGACGCGACATAAATTTTACACTCTCATTCTAACTGGTGAGTCTCAACAATAATGATTCCGATTTTCATTCAAGAAGCCACGTTCTGGGAACATTAAAGTAATTTAAATGTAGCTTAAGGTCAAAAGTCCTCCAGATGCCAGGTGACACTGAATGGCTGTCCACCGTACACCGAGAAAAAAAGCACAGTTATTCTACCGTTACAACGGTAGTAATGTCACACGGGATTCCACGGTGGTAGAACCGTGAATTTTGATTCTTGTAACGATGAGCACGGTGATATAACCGTGTACTATTATGAGCATGGTTGTGCTACTGTGCTCATCAATAATATTACCAAAATCCACGGTTCCCTTGACGTGGAATCCCATGTGACATTATTACCGTGGTAACCGTCGAATAATATTCCGCACTTGATGAAATTGGTGAAGCGTACCGGATGCAACATCTGTAAGGTGAAATGTCCTCTGGATACAAGTGAACGCCCATCTGGATAAACGCAATTTACCGCAAAAATGCAGTCCTGCCTTCATTGACGCAAGATATACGGCTCTGCGTTTCCGTTTTTGGTTGACCTTATGTTCCGTATGTCCGCACTTGAAATTAAGTGGAGCGTGCTAAGTACGGTACTTTCATGATCGAAGGTACTCCGGCCACCAGATAGCTCTTGATAGGTATTCACGTGATGCACGTGATGATGCGATCGAAGTAACGTAGCGTAAGTAACGTAACCATAGCGGCACTGCGTCTCATAACGGAGAAACGTTGTAGTGTGCGGTCCTACGTTATCCTTTCGGAGCTCTTGTGAACGCTCATGCAAAAGAACAGCTATGACGCGGTCCTGCGTTCACTGACGTAGGACCTCTGATATGCGGTGAGGTGTTTCCTTCTGTGGTTGACCCACGATCAAAAATCTTTTTGGCTCTGATTCTTTAAAAGAATTCATATTCACACCCACCGCGTGATCTGACGTAAGAATAAATTGACAAAACGAATTTTTTTTTTTTTTTTTTTTTTTTTTTTTTTGAAGTTTTGTGGGAGACGTCTTGAAATGAATTGAAACATGTAGGTGTAAGATCATGTGAGAAATTGCCACAACTCTTTTTTTAATAATAAGTATTATTTGGAGGAAACTTCCTAAATGTTAAATTTCCATGAACACATTGTTTTTTTCCCGGGAGAAATATTTTTATTTTTAGATTTTAAATATGATTTTTCGGGGGAAATTTTTACAGACCCAGATTTTCCAACCCCAGAGAGTAAAACAAGAGAAGAGTGGCAGCATTGGATCGTGGGAAATATACCTCCGGATGATATCATAGACGGAAAACCCATCGGAGGAAATATCTCGGCTGGACAAACACTCACAGAGTACTATGGAGTGGTCTCATTTCAAAGATTTGGAAGTAAGTATGTATTCATTTTCCTGCATGAAATACTTCGAAGTCCATACGAGCTGCCTATGGTATTCTAAAATGCTTAGAAAGCTAAAGTCTGAATTAAAATGCCCCCAACTTAGTGAGAAATTAGATCGAAACTAAGTTATAAGAAACGCTATTTCTGACATGGGCCGGGCATGGCAAGCAACTTGGGCAGCCATGGTGAGCAGTAGATTGTTACCAGCGTGTATCTACACTGTGCTTTTTTGCATCAATTTTCTTCAATAAAGAATTTTAAATCCCCACCTTTTCCTTATTAATTGTTTGCGCATTCTCTGATTATGATTCATTTTTTCAGCACCTCACCGTTACGTATTCCTAGTGTACGAGCATGATCATAAGGTGAAATTTGATGAGCCTTACTTAAAACATGTGTGAGTATTTTATCATTTTTCAGTCAGATACTTTGAATATTAATTTTATTTCTTGTAACTTTACACTTTTAGACTCAAACGGGGAACTTCAAACATAATTTTTGAAGTTCCCCGTTTGAGTAAATAAATGTTTGAAACATTTATTTCCTTCGTGAAACCAACTTTAATTTTGAATTAGAAAATGAAAAAAATACTTCAAGAACATTAGAGGTGTGTCAACTATTTTATTTCATTGATGATCAATATTCATTATTTCATTAATAATTTATATTAAAAATTATTATTTAAATTATATTATTTCATTAATTTCATTATTTTCAATGATCCCGCGCTGTCATTTTCATTTCAGCGCGGATGATTTTCTCCGTGGTGGATTTTCATCAAGAGAATTCGCCAAAAAGTACAACCTTGGTGAACCACTAGCTGTGAACTACTTCTTCAACACAAGAGAGCCGCGAAAATTGGAAGATAACAAGTACAGGATAGATTCACAACCACATGCATTTTATCAAGACGAGGATGTGGACGATATCCATGAAATATCGCTTACGACATCGAGAAGTCAAAATAAGGTTTATCACAGAGAAGATGGAGAGACACATCAGTTACACCTCACATCGCCCAAATATCATGATACAGCATCCCAAAGGAAGAATGTAGACGTGTTCGAGCTAGTCCTTACAACACCCAAGAACCGTGCTTGAATATTCATAGAAATTCCTGAAATATTTACGAGTATAAGAACCTCAGACCATTTGAAGCACTTCATTTAAAAAGAAGGGACGAGTTTACCTCATGTAAATAGTGGGAGGAGTTAGTATGCACTAATTGTAAATTCATGTCGCTCATTAAAAATTGAAACTAAATATTTGTGGAATTACCTTTAAGGAATAAAGAGTGCTGTTGATTTACAAGTAATTTGCTATTTTTTTCTGCTCGTCTAGGGACTACCCATCATCTGTCTATAGCCACAAAATTGTGGAAATCGGCCTAGTGATATGCTGGAAATAACCGTAACAATGAATTAAAATTTACATTGTTTACGTGGAAGAATTCGAAACTTCTTCCTTTCTTTCTTTTTTTTTAACTATAAGATATGAGAGACAATAACATCAAAATGGACGATTAATTAAGAATTAAAATTAGGCTCCTAATTAAAATTACGAGATGACGAAGTAGTCAAACTTCTCTTATGAGCTGGATACAAGGAACATCATATAGTATACCTAAAATTACAAATTAGACGAAAATGAAACAGACGCGCTGATGAGAGTGCCCACAGAGGGTATACTATCAGCACTTCGCAACTTTACCCCATAATATGCTGAAACCTGGGCCAAATTTCCAAAATCTGAGTAGAGCGGGCTCATCCGCATAAAATCCGTCGATATCCACAAAAATGATGAAATCGGTCTAATAGAACGCAAGAACGAGCAATCACCAGAAATGAAAATTTAGGAGGTTTGAGAGCTGATACTACAGATAGTTCCGTATTATTTTGGAACTACAGTGCAGTGACCTGATACGGTCATTAGATGGCACTCAGTAGACTGACACAAATAAAATTTAATTTACTGACAGGGAAGAATTGGCAGACTCGTAAGCGCAATGAATCTATAAAGTCAAACGAAACGAGAAACGGGGTTATCGAAAAATTAATGAGTCGTATAAAATAAAATTTAGATTTTATCTGTTTCAAATTTCAGTAGTCCACACAACTCAGTCCAATAATACCCCGGTATTGCACGAACAGTGAAGCTGAAAGTCTAGTCAGTATGTGATGTGATTTTGGGAGTGTAAAAGTTTAGCAGAAGGGAAGAGTAAAATCTCAGAATGAAGAGCAATTTCGAATGTCCTTTAAAACCAATATGGCTCCGGTCATCATTGGCCAGAGTAAACAAATTGACTCTTAAATGATATATTCTCGTGATATTTGATGCTGCGTTAAAATATCACAATTTAGCACCCCCAAAAAAATGGTTTTAATGAAGAAAAGTTGATAGATTTTGTGAAAGAAAGGTAAAGACACCTAAGCATGTTTTTCGAGCTGTCCTTGCTATTTTCATCTATTTTGACTCTGTGCTGCTGTCAATATGTTCACACTCCCACACAGATTAAGTCATTCTTTGAGCGAGAGGAAATAATCCCAGATGTGCTTATCTACAGTCCTGAAAAAGAGCTGAAGGTAACTTGAAATTGTTTACTTTTTTACTTCTTCATAATTGTAACTTGCTTATTATACAAACCACGTTCACCTCAATTTCTCTTTCATTGCATTTTTTTTTTTTTTTCTCTCTCTTTCGTGAAAGAAGCCTACACTGCCTTCGTTTTTTGCTCATGTTTAAAGCATAACGTAGATGGACCTGAGTAGCGCATATAGTTCAGTATCATCCTAATGCCAAGAGGTTTTTAATGAAAAATTGTCTTCGATTTACTTTTTATTCTGACTTATAAATTACGAAAACTTACAACAAAATCTGAGTGCTGAGCCGCACAAATTATGCTGAATCGAGCTAAGTTCAAAAGATAAACATACTCGTGAGGAACTAAGATTTCTCGCTTATTTTTCTAAATAAAAGATAGAACTTTTAGATATGATACTGTGAAATTTCTATATTTTAGCTGGTTCCATTTTAACATCATTACGTACATTTGCTACAACAACCTAATTTTAATATCACTGTACATCAGGTGAAATACGGGGATGAAAAATGTAATTTTGGGACGGCTTACTCGGCATCAGAGGTCAAAGAGCCACCAAAAGTCAGATGGGAGCATGAACCTGGTGCCTATTACACATTAATAATGATAGGTAAGTGTGACCCAATGACGATAACCGTTAAAAAAAATGGAACATAAAAGAGAGGAACAAAAAAAACGAAATTATTTTTCTTTGTTCTATTTCAAACCGATGATCTTCAATTTAATCCTTTAATAATTTTTTAACATACAGTCGTCACTCTCTGTAACGACTATTATGAAAATGAAAACTTCTCTGCAGCCAGAAATTTGATCGGTTCCTTGAACTTTCAATATTGAGTACATGTATTTTATTCCAGACGTAAAAAGCGTGGCAACGAGGCAACACTCTCTATTGCGAGCTGTCGTCACTCGTAGATCTGGCTTATGGGTCAAAGTGTAGGCTCGTACCAAAGAAAATGCCTTCTCAAGAGCGTAAACAATGACTTCTACCATTGTTTACAGCCTAGCGGTACCAAGGTAAAGATGCTGACTCCGTGACTTAAACTTGTCGCGCAGAACACAGTGTGGCCGGCACCAAACGCATTTTAGCGTCTGCAAGACTGTATGAATACTTCACGCATTGCGCGTCAGCATTTACGCATTTGCGCGCTTTAATCAGTGAAAATTCATAACTTCTCGGTGCCGAACCTTCCGTGGTGCACACCATTTCCGACCGGTGTACACCTCGAGCCTGCAATCTTAGGATCGTGGGATTGTAGAGATTTTGCAACCCTGAATGGTACCTTAATCTCCTGAGTCATCGATGTCGATTTTTGTCCATTTATTTCTAATTAACTATTGTTATCGTTTGTTACCTACATTGGCGGAGCCAGCTTATTGGAAACATTGTCTTTTCTCCATTTAAACCAATGGAAATGTATCGATTCTTGGAAAAGCTATGTGTTCCGACAAAAATCGATTTCTTTGCATAAGTTTAAATGGAGGACATTCGGTGTTGCCAAATTTCTGGATCCGCCTCTGGTCAACTATCAACGACGGTTGAAACGAAACCATCTCTATAGCGAGGAAATCGACCGGTCTCTTGAGTTAGCGTTAACGAGAAAGATTATTGTATCATATTTTGAGAATGATAATTTTTGTTCTTATTATGTAAGATGCATGTATGTTATTTTTCCTTTTCCGCTGAGAGAGACTAGTCAGGCGCCCTCAGATCGTTCCTGAGCAACATTAGTATTTTTTCCTTCGCTGAAAATAAGCTAAAACAAAACTCATCTCATACCTATAAACTTCCTTGCCTACTTATTTTTTATAGATCCGGACGTTCCGAATAAGAAGAATCCGATATTGAGAGAGTATCAGCATTGGCTTGTTGTGAATATTCCTGAAAGTAGGACGATGGAAGGTCAAACGTTAACAGAGTACTTGGGTGTTATTCCGGAGCAAACCAAAAGTAAGATTATGGACTTATTTCTATCAAACGGAACTATGTGCATTAAAACATGAGCCCTGAGACCCATAAGAATATGTGCATAACAGGACTCACGTCATGATGCACATAGTCTTTCTGTTTGATAGAAATACTTCCAGATTCTAGTTTTAGTCGTTATAAACTTGCGGTGTGTCTCGAATTCACTTTAATCATAAACGTATTCAAGTCGAGTCTTGTCCCTCCTATTAGGAACTTCAAATCCACATTTTTTTTGGATACGCTGTACAAGTGTATTTCGGGCGTTACAGCTAAATGACAACCAATATTGAGCAGAAAACCGGAGATTGATGTGGGCTGCGCTGGAGGTCCATTCTGCCGTGCTGAGGGAAAACGCCGTATGAACATCCGAGAGTTGCCAAATTTCCTACAATTACTCATGTATTTTTGACGACATTCATGCTCATTTTTCTTTTAAATTTTCAGATATTGTAGATTAAATTACGAACAAAATTACCTAAAAAATTGGAAGGAAAATATTCAAAAGTTTACCAGGAAATTCGTGTTTTATCCAAGGAAATTTGGCAACGCTTGAAGGCTCTTACGGCGTTTTTCCTTAGCACGGCAGCATTAGGGAGCTAGAATGTAATAAATAACGATGGCTAAAGTGCGAAACCACGTATACCCGTTTGCGACGTCGCAAATTTTCTGTACACTGTAAATTTCCTCATGAAAAACTAGTAAGCGTAATTCCTTGGAAACTTCCTTCATTTTTCTTTACTGTTGGTGGAATAGGTATTCTGTGCACATGTTGAACTACAAAGTTGGCTTATTTTTATTCAAAAAAAAAAAAAAAAAAAAAAAAAAAAAAAAAAAAAAAAAGCAGGAGCGGGACCACCAAGATGGAGAAACGTGGTTTTGCGCTTTGACTATGGATAATATATTAGATAATGTGTTGAACATTAAGAATGCGAAGGTTATGAATATTTTAAAATACTGAATTTCTAACCTTTCAGTTTTGGTAATAAAATAAGGGAGTTTCGAGTGCTTGCCGCCTAGCGTTCGAACGATTACATCTAGTATGTCTTTCAAACAGCGTATCTCTGGCAAAAAGGGAGTTGATCATTAGGGAGGTTATTATTTTTTTTGGCAAGCTTTGCAGCCGTCTAAATATATTTAATGATTAATGATATACACAGATCTCATTGATTCCATTTTTTAAATTTACAATATCAATTCAGCTTTGAAAATTGTATTCTTGGCTGAAAAAAATCATTATGTAATTAAACAGGATGTTGTATCTGCTGGATATAGAATATTGAATGCTGACCAAACAGTTAAATGGTCTCTTGTACCTTGATCTTAATTCCGAACGTAAATATCCTATACTGCCATACTAAGGAAAAACGCCGCATGAACATTCGAGAGTTGCCAAATTTCCTCTCAGAAAATGTTTATTTTTGAGGAGAGTCATGGATATTTCGTCTTGAAATTTTTAACTGATATAGATTTAATTACGGAGAAAATTCTCTGAAAAATTGAACGGAAAATGTTCCAAATGTTTCCTGAAAATTCGTATTTGATCAAAGGAAATTCGGCGACTGACGAAGGTTCATACGGCGTTTTTCCTTAGCACGGTAGTATACTTACAATAAGCCAATTATTGCGCGTCACGCGTCAATAGCAAAAACAGTCGTTTTCAAACATGATGTTTTGTGAGGGGGGTCTCTCCCCCCCCTCAATATTTAAAGAATTGTTAACGGGTAAGTACCATGTAGATGCAATTAACAAACATTGCTAGTTACGAAGCAGTTTGGTGGAAGTATTTGAATGAATTAAAATAGCAAATTTCAATCCAGTGAACTTCATAAATATATGACACATATTTATTGAAGCTTTTATTTTCTTTTTCTAGGTATTCATCGATACGTATTATTTGTATACAAGCAACCTGGAAAGAAACCAATAAATTTTGACTTGATGTACAAAGACAAAACGTAAGTTTCATTGCACCGAACTTCCTTTGAAAAAACTTAATTAATTTGAGAGATTGTTTCAAACCTAAATATTTTGTCCCCTCCCATCAGTTGTTTATCAATCCGTGGTTTGTCATTGCGCGGATATGAATCGAAAAAAGGAGGTCATTACCACCTCATAAAAGGGAGGTCAATACAGAGGTAAAAGGTAATACCGACAATTAGTTAAAAAAAAAAGGGGGGGGGTAAAAATATTTAGGAAGAAAGCATACGGCAAAAACGACCCGCCTAAGTGCAGGTGAAATGACCCGAAGACGAGCTTAAACTTGAATGTACTTGGTGGCTACAAAAAGTTATCAAAATTCGGTAACGTACAGCGATACAACGTATAACGAGAACGATAAAGCGGAGTTGGCGAAAGGAGTAGAGGGGAGAGTCTAATCTCCCTAAAGACTTTTGATAGAAAGCTACTCATTGATTTCTATATGTTTTCATACCCGAAGTGTCATTTGAGAGATTTTTCCTTCAATTTGGAATAGGGCATCATGAATGATGCTGGATTGAAAAAGGCCCACAGTGCGATTTTCTAAATATTTTGTTGCAAAACTAAATCATCGCAAAATTGACTTGATCTTTAATCAGTTACGCCCTTCAGAGTCAGACGTTCCTAACCCATGCTTCCCGGGGAGCCATGGACCACTTCTGAATCAAAAATCACGATAAAAGAGAGATTCAAGCATCTCCAGACTGTAAAATATGTATCTTAGTGTAAAATTGTCATTAGTAACACACAATATTGACTCTTTCCGTGAATTTATCGCAAGGATGAATATTTCGTTCTTTCGTAACGCTCTTGTCATGTCAGAAAAATGTGTCATCTTTTGATAAATTATAGATTTATTTGAAAGAAATGAAAATGCCTCAGAGGGCAAAATTTTCACGAATAATTGAAAAATTGAGAAAAAATATAAGGAATTCTGATGTGAATTACGTGAATGTGTTCTCTCACACATTCAGGCCAGATCGTTCGAGACGAGGTCCGTTCTGAATTCCATTCTATGCAATATTTTTACGAACACTTTCAAAAATTGAGAAAAAGCAAAAGTAATTTTGAGAGGAATTGTGTGAATGTGTTCTCTTGCACACATTCAGGCCAGATCGTTCAAGAGGACGCCAAATTTATAATCACATATTTTACGATTTGGTATATCCTATAATTTCAAGCAGTTTCTCCCACTGAAGGTCATACAAAGCAGACGTAACTGCAGGGAATGTTAAAGAAAGGAACGTACATAACATCAAAATAATTGTCATTCCCTGAATAGCTGGATTCTGTTCTCTTTCACATTTAGGCCAAATAATTCAACACGGGGCAAGTTTCACACACAGAATTTTGCAGAGGCATACAAGCTTGGGAATGTTACTTTTGGAAATTTCTTTCTATCAGGAATGGTGCTTGATCCACGCTACGATGATAACATGGATGAAGAGTACAGGAAAATCGGCGCAAAAATTGACTTGACAAAACCCTCCGATGATGATGACTTTTAGACGAAAGTGTAATGCATTTATCGTTGCCATGAGTTTTCGACAAATAAATGTAAATGAGGCAAACCAAGACTTTAGGGTTTCAATGCTTTACCTTTAATTCTTGCTTACATGCTATGCAGTCAATTTTGTGAAAGACAAAAGCCGGAATAAAGTATATCTGGGAGTAAATTATTTACACACGTTCAGATACGCTTTTATATTTTTCGAGCATCTTTTATTTTTCTTATCCCTCAAAATAACAAGAAACTCGTACAAACATCTAAGGGTGCAAAACCATCCTCTAGATAGTTTTCTTTGGACGAATGATTCGAGCCTAGTACATACCTACTGTGGGAACCTTTCAGATCTATTCGTGAGACCTTTCGGTTCATTATACAAAAACTTGAAATTCGTCAAGTTAAATACGTGACACATTTGCTAGACTTGATTAAAGGGATTTACGAGAGGAAAAATGTCTGTTTGACCCAAGGTCATCTTAGTCTCGTAGAAAAATCGCAGAGTTTTTTTTTCTCTCTCTTTTTGTTACCCCAGAAAAAATGTAAATTTTACGATTCCCTTCATGTGTTGGGTAAAAGCAAAACTCGGAGCTTATTTATCATGGTGCAATGGTCAAATACAGCGTGTCCCATACCCGAGCTTTCTTAGAATCGATCTAATATAAACTGGAATGGAGACAATATACAAATTGTTAAAGCGAGATGAGCGCACAACTGTCGCGCAGACTCGCAAAATTAGTCATTCCCTTAATTTAGAGTACCTATATTGAGAGAGTATGGCCACTGGTGTTACCACCTCTGGTTGGCTCACCCATCTTAGGCTAAATGGAGCCCTCAGGACCCAAAAATGGCGGACGCCATAAATTAATATAATGCAAAATGACTCAAAATGTAGTTTTCTTTGCTTATCGTAACGAGAAATTTACTCAAATGCAATATTGCAACTTCTTTACATATTTTTGAGGCTAATCGTGTGCAATTTTTGAGAAAAGTGATCTTAGATGTAGCAAGGTTGGCAGCATGTGCGGTTGGTGGTAACCGTCAAAAATTAGCAATGACCCCCCTCCCATCCACAAAAACCAAAACAAAGCACCGACATTTTTCGGTCTTAAGCCTCTCCATGGGGCCCAGTGGCCAAACTCTCTAAATATAGGTACTCTAACTTCATTCTATGCTCCCAATGTTACGGGACACAAGAATCCTGTTATAGAAGGATAGTAGTTTCGAAAACGCCTTCAACTGAGGCGTGATACCACCCGCATTCCGGAGAGTTAAAATAGTTGTATCCTTGCGCCGTAGCAATGCAATGCGACGGAAGGTAAAAATCTAAGTAGCTTCCACGCTTCTCTTTTCGGCTTTCATTTGCCGCCACTGCAGTTTTGACCGCATAGTTTGAGGGCTCTGGAGGCGGGATTGCGTGTAGGAAATAAATGATTTTCAAAGGAGAATTAAAATAGAGAAGCGGTTAGAATTTGACAAAAGAAAAGGAATTCAAATCAAAAAACAAATCCAAAGAGGGAAGGTAACGAATAACTTTGAAAAGCTTATATTTGAGCGAAATCACATTCGATATAATTTCGATTTCAACATAATTTGGAATGGAAACAACGTACAAATTGTTAAAATTAGATGGTTGCACAACGGTCGCTCAAACTTACAAACCAGTCATTCCTTTTCATCCAGGATCCGAATGTACCGGGACACGGGAATCCCGTTAAAGCAAAATCGGAGTTTCGAAAACGCCTTCAACTGAGGCGTGATACCGCCCGCATGCCGGAGAGTTAAAATAGTTGTATCCTTGCGCCGTAGCAATGCAATGCGACGGAAGGTAAAAATCTAAATAGCTTCCTAGCTTCTCTTTTCGGCATTCATTTCCCGCCACTGCAGTTTTGACCGCATAGTTTAAGGGCTGAGGAGGCAGGATTGCGTTCAGGAAATGAATACTATTTAAAGTAGAATTCCGTATTTCACACCATTAAATGCGCAAGCTGATGTGTGTATTTTTCTTCTATTCCAATAGGATCGTTGTAATGACTCTTTAAAGCATTAAGAAACTTGCAAACCTAAGGTAAAAATTACAAACATGTGACGTTCTTTCTTCGTCCTATATATTTGTCAGTTTGCAGATAGGCGGTTTTTTTCCTTAGCCATCGATGAGTGACAAGTTCACGCAACAATATCCTTTCTGGAGATAAATAAAACTGTAAACCTTTTTTGAAATAATTTCGTATCAATCAGTTGTACCACATTTTGCAATAAGGAACCACTATTTCTAGCTCCTTTTAGAAACAACGTATACGCCATGGTACGCAGAAAGGTGCTTTCACAGAAGATCCAGAGATATTGGTTCCTTATTGCAAAATGTAATCCAATTGCTCGGTTGGCTGAAAGAAAACACCCTAGATGGAAATATAAAAGAGAGATGAAGAGAGTTAGTTAGTTATTATAATTTTAAGACATTCAGCGTCTCAGGCTATTAACGTCTTTACAGATAATTTTGAAAATGGGAGTATAAACGAAAATTTAGATTTTTAGTATTTAATGTGTATATTGTTTAATGTGTATATTAATGTATATATTTGTGTTTATTGTTAAGTAAATATAAATCCACAGTCTTAAAAGTTAAACCAGCCTCCTTCATTTTCCGAGTCTGTTGGGTTTATCTGCGCCCTTCGATCCGAAGGATCTGGTCTTTCTATTTGAAAAAAGTTGATTGCGAGAGGAGCTCCTAGTTCCCACCTTTTTGCAAACTCCCTCCACGAAAACTTTCCTCTTACGTCATGCTCCAACCTGAAATAGAGAGTGAAACAATTATAATCACTTTACTCGAGTGATCCTAAAATGTACATTTTCTGTTGAAATGAAATATTAGAAATGAAATGTGTCAAATGGGATTGATTGACGGATTCGTTTCCATTCAATAAACGAGATTTGTGAATTGTGTGTTTTCAAACTTAGAGTCATCACAACTTTGCGCTCACTTGCTGTGCTGATATATTTCTTGACTGCAAACTATGGGCTGACTTTTTCAAAACGTTCCTTCTTTTATGGGACATGGGGCTACACAAACAAAGTAAACAGTGCAAACCGTTTCCAAGAATTTATGATATTGTCTAAGTTAAGGAGACTTTTAAATTATTTCTGGGATGAAGTTACAGAATGAATTCAAAAGGAAACTCTAATTATAATCTGATCTTGTGAATCGTGATGAGAATATGTCAATTCCGTCACTTACTGTGCTTTTTTGGTAACCACCTCAAAATTAATGTGGGTGGGCGTTGGTTGCTCGAATACCAAAAAAACTAGTCGATGAGCTGTAAATAGAATGTATTCCAAATTATTAGTGATCAAAATTTTAAAAATGAATGAACGCCTCTTCATAATACGAGGACTTTCAGAAAACAATATAAGTACGATAGGTGTCACCATTAGGACACCATTTACAGAAATTCGTTTTATGTGTGTAATATAGATTTTTTGCACGCGAAGAGCCAAGGGGGCTCCTTTAAAAAAATGTGCATAAAACATTCTCATTATTTTATGCACGTTTTATGTGCGAGTAGTATACTATTTTCCAATAGGGCTGAAATTGATCCCTTTGGTTATCTCTTACGATTAATTTCTTTTTAGAAAACTGACTTTTCAGAAGAGGGATATTTGTAAAATATGTTGGGAGAATTAGGTTTTGTTTCTATAAAATTAATTGTCTTTCATACAAACTACCCAGATTAGTCGTTGTTACGAAACACATTTCTTTATTTTCCCGTTTCTGTAAGTAAACAATTATTGATGGTGAAATCTACATTGGGGAACGTTGAAAATTGCCCGCCAAGTTTTATTTTAATACGGAAAAATCAACTTTGAGTTTGGAACCCCAACCCAACATTACGGAATTCCAGAAGAGCCAGCTAGTCTACGAGGTCTGTTAGATTAGAAACCGGATTTTGGTCATAACTAGCCTACCGTGCGTCTGAATTAGGTTTTCTTAAAATTTCCTGATAGTTGGAAATATACTTAAGAATGCTACGCTCACAAATTTGAACAATCTTAATTAGCTTCGCTGATATGTGGCTTGAAGTAAGGCAACCTCATGGGTGTTTTGCAATTTTTATGTTTGACCGAACTTGTCTCTCTTTTTTCGGTCTTACACTACATTTTTCAACCCACAAGGACGATTGGAGTTTCGTCTCCATATCGTAGCCGTACACTAAAGTATTGTCACCGAAAATTATCCCATCCAAAAATGTAGGATCATTGTTAGAACGTTCAAGCACCTAAAGGAAAATTGACATTTGGTTGGATTTTTGTTCAACGGACAACAATCAAGGGGCAAGTGCGCCTGAAACTCGATGCATGTCTACATATTCTATCAAAATTGTATGTGCAGAGCCTTCAGAAATATTACACTGTTCAGCAAGCTCGGAACAACCATTTTCGAGGACTTTTGCCGGCACTTCTTCCACGTGGCAAATGTCAGTTGCCGCTGATGGTCGATTCCCGTGCTCCTCATCTTCGACGGACTCTTGACCAGTTTTGAATCGTTTTAACCCACTTAAAACGGTGAGAAGGACTCATACAATGATCTTGGTACACTTCACTTAGCTTATTAAAAGTTTCGGTCCAAGGTATACCGAGTTTAAAACAAAATTTAATGTTAAATCTTTGCTCTATTGGTGATCGCATGATGAAAATCGCAAAACGCACCTGACTTACTTGTATTTAAGGTGACAACACTGATCAATATAAACAAAATCTGTGAACGTAGTGTTCTTAAATATATTCTCAGCTATCAGGAAAGTCCAAGAAAACCTAATTCGGCCGCATAATAGGCTAGTTATTACCGTAGGCTATCCAATGGAGATGTTGCGTGTGTGAGGGATTTGCAATTTGCATGCAATGATAGGGAGCAAATACATTAGCAGGGTTGCCGTGTTTTCAGTTTTGGAGTCCCCAAATGAAGTGGCAGCCCTGCCAATGTATTTGCTCCCTATCTTTGCATGGAGAGATTGTTTTGATGTAGAGGTGGACTCTCAGAGTAGAGTGGGCCCTCCATTTTGGTCTCACTTCTTTCTTTGAGCTTGGGAGACGATTTCAGAGAAGACCAGTGGCATCATTGTGTTTCTCGCGAACTTTTACACAAGATTCAACAGTCAAATTGCAAATTCCTCACACATGCAACATCTCCATTGGGGATATCGGGTTCGACGCACCCGCGGAGCTGAGTCATGTGTAGGCTGCCCCCTTCTAGGGCCGCATAAGATCGGGTGCCTCGAGGGCTGAGCGAGACGTAGCTGGTCTGCCCTCCCTGCCCTCCAGACCTCGGCTCCAGAGCCCTGCCGTGGGGCTGTCGCAGGGTTTGGCGCAAGCTGGGCCTAGGCTCTCCTTCTACGCCCTTGACTCCGGGTACAATGATGGCTTCGGCAGATCAGTCCCGGGAGATGGGGGGGACCCTCCCCCAAGTTGGGGGCCTGAGGGGCGCCGGCTGCATCGGGACCGGGGATGGGGATTGCCGTTCGAAGAGTGCCTTAGGGACGTCCGACGGGAGGATAGAGCGTCCGATGGGCCACACTTGCACGGGGTATGGCCTCAAGGGGTAGTTTAGTGGGTACGGAACACAGCGGCGTGCTCTACCCCCACATAACCGGGTCTTCCCATCTCACAGCGGTCGGGTCGGTTAGGGGTCGCTTCGGTGGCTCCTCACCAGCTGATGGCCGTTGCCGTCCCGGTATTCGGTGGGCCCCTTTCATGGGGGGCTTTTCGGCGACCCTCATGATGGGGGCACTGTAGCGAATTTTTCCCCTCATCATAAAAAAAAAAAAAAAAAAAAAAAAAAAAAAAAAAAAAAAAAAAAATTGGCTAGTTATGACCAAAATCCGGTTTCTAATTTAACAGACCTCGTATATGTCTGTAAATTTTGTTGATAATACGCACGATATATTAATATATTAGATTACGACTTGGTTGGTAATACTCACGATTATCTCTGGTATCCGGACTTAAATATGGAGCGATACATTCACCTTTCATAAAATAGTCCTCTGGAATATTTACAACGAGCCAGTGTAAATATTCCCTTAATACTGGCAATTTCGGGGTGGGTGCATCCAAATCTGCTCAAAGCAAAGCAACGTCAATTAGCTCCCAAAAAGACCATGCGATTAGCTATTATCTGCTCTATCCTCTAAAACGAACCAGATTGTTTTATTAAAATATAAGACATTTTACAAATCTGGATCCATGTCAGAGAGTTTTGATAAAACGCATTAAACTTACTGCAGCGTGCAAATTGCGTGACAATGTTTACTCCCCCCTCCTCTCTATTAATTGTTTAGTAAAACAATGGACCACTAAACAAGGCACGAATTAAAGGATTCTGATACATGTCTCTTAAACAAAATTTCACGCAAAACACGATTCGCGCAACGAAAATGACTGAAACCAACTCTTAACGAAGATAGTAACGTTTTTATTTCACATTGGTTACAAGGAATTTGAACTGCCTGCTCACAAGAAACTCAAAGCTCTACGTGGGTCAAATCGCGCACTACAACGGTTTCAGCAATCTTCTTAATCGAGCAATTTTCATTTCCCACCATGTGTTGTTCAAACTATAAGCAAATTGCTATAGCTGAGCCAAAGCGTCAAGATCGAGTTTACCAGATTTTTATATCGCAGAGACTGTCATGATAAACGTTTAGCGCGCGATGTGAATCACGTAGAGCATTGAGTTTTCATGAGCGGGTGGTTTGAATTCACGCATCAAGAATTGTTGAATATCTTCGTAAGGAATTGATTTCGGTAATATTCGTTGTGCGCATCGTGTTCTACCTAAAATATTGGTTAGAAGCATGTATCAGAGTGCTGAAATTCGTACCTTGTCTAGTGGTCCATTGAAAAGTGAATAAACTAACATTGTGCTAAAACATCTCCTCGGCCTTTTCTGAATTCGTTGTTCGTCGTGTTTTGTCAAATTGCTGGTAAGATTGCAATTGAAATTAAAACGCTGGTCAAAATATTGCAAAGGATTTCGAAAATACTTTGAAAACATTCCTTAAAAAATGTGGTATAGTTGTAGAATATATGGACGGTGTAAGTCTGGAAGCACGTATCTTGTTTGCAGTGTTTGAAAATCTCCGGCCTTATTTTATTTTTTGAAAGGAGAACAAAGCGACATCATTCCTTGAAGTATTTGCAGAATTTGCTCTGTTAAGGGAAGACAAATCGCGGCAGTTTTTAGGAATGCCCATTGAGTAGTATTCCGTTCAAAAAATAAAGTATGACAGGTAGTCTGCCACGTCGCAAACCGAGATACATGGTTGCGGACTTACACCGTCGATATGGCTCTCTTGGGTAAACTGTTTTTCGTTCAAATGCGGACCTCTTTTCAAGATCGAAAAAGAATCTCTCAAAATTTTATGTAACGACTGGGCTAATTTTTTATAGGAGATAACTTTCCAGAGAACTTACCTAGCAACATTAATGTGTATAATTTTCCTTCATCCGTAGGCCAAATGGTTTCGATCGGTTGCACAGGTACCTCATGGGGTTCCAAACGGTTGCCAAAATCAGCATCTGCTTTAGCCCAGTTTACCTTCGAATTATAAAGAGTTTTTTTATTTTATCTTTATAAAGATTTGAAGCACGCTATGCTGGAGAGAAAAATGTCTCAAAATAATGATTTTGAAACACTCCTTAATTCATTTTGAGTTTCATATCTTGTAAACCTGCGAAGAGTTAATGCAGAATTAATTTCATGATTTTTAGCTGGGATGATGTACACTAGGATCCCGTTCATCTTTAGTAGTGATTCTCATAAAATGGCAACATTGTTTTCCCCTCTCTTTTTATTCCGAAAAAATTGCATTAGAAAATGTCATCCATAAAAAATGCTTAAAATTTAATTCATACTTTGGAGACAGACATAGTGCAAAGAGCTGAGAAGTTTTGAAGGTATATGGAGGAATGCGTGAAGCGTGATATTTGCTTTCCGATATAAATCCACCAACTGGAGGACCATTTTAAAAATTAATTGACCCGGAAGCAACCCTAGTTCCAGGAAGGGCGTGCCGGTAAACACTGGTGCGATGAAACGTTCACTTTAGTGTACAACTAGTTGAATACCTGACAGATAAAAGGTGGAACCTCAGTTACAAGATCAGGCATGATTTTGAAATAGTTCATCTCTCTCACGACAAAAGGTGAAACTTTTGCTAGGATTTGTGGTAACCAGACCTGAGTGAAAATTAGTAGATATTGGGACCTTGGATTAAATTTTTTAATAAACCACAGAGTTTTCATCACTATTAGTATCACTGAATAAATTTCCACCTTCAAAAATGAGGAATCGTACAATTCTTCAATTATTTCATAAACCCGATCAAGTTAACTTTCTCGGTTGACACATTGTGTGACGGTAACGGAGAATACCGTTTTTCGTGTAATTTCATTGAGATGTGAAATGCTCCTCTTCACCATCCTGTACAGCAACTAATCAACAATTTAGGAATTTGAAATGAAATGATCAAATCAAAAATTATCACGAAACAAACTTCCACTTTCCTTATCAATGCTGTGTTGTCATCGTTTTTCGTTGGGTTCCCTTTGATAAAATTTTGAGTAGTCTATAGTGACGTAATGCCACAATTTTGATGATGCTTCTACTCTAGATCTGACCGGGTCTAATATCAGTGTTCAAATTATAAAACCAAGTGAGTGACTAAAGATCATGTGTTTCATTCCGAACTGAAATATTTTGAAAACTGCTGCTTTTCACAAATAACGATGCCAAAAAGGGGCTTCAAAACACTTCGCAAGTCAGTATCAAATTTTATGGGACGTTTCTCATGTTATACGTATAGTTCATATATTGCATTTTCTCTCTGAACTGAATTGAGAGGTAAGTACTATTATCTTCTTTTTTGCCTCTAATTTAGTCGTTTCCTGGACGATGGGCGCAACTCTATTTCAAGATTGCAAAAATGACTCAAAAAATTCAATTTTATACGAGAATGTGCCTCTGCAATATTCGTCCAAAATTGTCCTGACTGATGCAAGAGATCAGAGGAAAAATCACTGAAATTTATTTCAGTCGGAAACTCCTCAGAATTTCCTGGTAAAAACGCAATTTGTCAGGGTTAATGTGACAACATTCTAATGTAGTTAAGTTCTTTCGTGAGGGAAACGGCGATTTGTGACCGTCCATGGGAAAGAGAATCCTCACTTAAAATTGAATACTTGATACCGGAGAGTAAAAAAAGTATTCTTCAAACTTTCTCGCACTAGGTAGGGTTATCCACGTAAGTTTCGGGTTTGCGACCTAAAGCCTCAAACTGAGACAAAATCAGCTAAACCGATCACAACTTATTTTCAAGACAAATTAGATCGTGTTTTCTGTTAAAATTCGAAGTCCCATGTATTAAGCCGATTTCACGAAAATCGTTATTTTCCCAAGTAATGATGATCGCGATAAGTAGCGATTTGATCGGAGAATGTATCGCAATTTTATTGACATCAATTGCAATATTATCGGATAAAAAATTGCAATAAATTGTGATTTTATCACATAAATTTGCAATAAAATTGCAATTTCGTCAACGGCGATCCATCGTAATATTATCAAGCAGAAAAATCGTGATAAATTCAGATACAATTTCGATTTTATTGGAACGCGATTTAATCGAGATTAAATTGCGACAAAATTGAGAATGATCGCTTAGATTTTGATGATCCTCGCGATTTTATCGCCACAAAATCGTAAAAAATTTGCAACTTAACTTCAAAATATGACGATTTTTCTGTTGAAAAATGCTACCTCGGTTGAGAGACTTGCCTCTGAAGACGAAGGTACTTTATTCTAACGGCTAGTCACGGGCATATATTGACGGTGAGACTTCAAAATTGCTTACTCCGGTTACGGTGTTTCAAAGTCTCCACTCCTACTTTGTTTTTTCAAAAGAGATCGAACAAACATCTGGCATGAAATTTTTACAGAATATTTTTCACGCGGAGAAGAAAAATCGCCGACGTTTTCAAGAAACGGCGTTCAGTAGTCGTGTACGCAGAAAATCAAGTATGAAAAGAAGTCTGCAACGCCACAAAACAAGATACGCACTTCTTCAGTTTCATCATCGATATGTATTTCCCTTCCATGTAGGAAAATCTACATCGAGTTACCAGGCGGATCCTGATGTTCAACCGAAGAAACTTTACCACCAGAAAAGCGGGAAAAGTTCTTAAATACGCAACAGATGTGCTCCTACATCCATACATGACTGTTCTGTCCTTTATATTCTGCTTTTTCCTTGCATGAACCAGTTTTAGTGTATTGCATTCTCCCATGATGTCGTACCCAGACCTGAGCCTTGTGGAGAGCACCAATCACGGGTTGTAGATCACGAAAATATAGTTAGTTAGTTAGTATATTTTAAGACATTCAGCGTCACAGGCTATTAACGTCTTTACAGAGAATTTTGAAAATGGGAGTTTACGCGAAAATTTAGATTTTTAAATTAAGAGAGGTGAAGAGTTTCAGAAAGTTGTCTCTCAAAAAATCTAGTTTGTTCCTAATAAATCTCTCAATTATATAAAGAATTATTACCTATGATGGGGAAAATATGGCATTCTCGGAATTTAAAATGCAACAGATGTGTTTTAATCTGAGATGACCTCGTTTTGGCAGTAAGACTGTTACTATAAAAAAGAAGAGAAACAAAACAGGTAAAGCTGAGAACCTTGTCAGTCGTTTTACGCATTGTCATCTCAACTTATTGTCCTTTTTTTTTTTTTTTTTTTTTTTTTTTTTTTTTTTTTTTTTTTTTTTTTTTTGTCAGGCTAGGATGAAATGATAACGAAGATTGTGATAGAAATTTTGATCCCGGTATGTATATGCTTTGCCACGGTCATACAACATGTGAATCCAATGCGGACTTCTCAACAAATGGATATCGAAATGACAAGGTCCCAGATTGTCCCTGACGTCATCAGGGTAGTACCGAACAATGAATTGAAGGTAAAGTACGCATCATATACATGCCGTAGTTTTCATTTCACTACGCAACTCCTGCTTTCACACTTTTTGGTGTAAGTAATTTCGGTATCGTCATGTCTTGATTCTGCTGACACAAAATAAATTGAGAATTTTGAATGGATATTTGGTTTAGTAAATGATGGCGGAAGAAAAAAAAATTCTATTCATTTTTAATTTCATTTCTGTGGAGCTGACCACATTTTGAATTCATGATAAGTATTGATTTTGAATGAAATTAAACAGAGGTCAGACACGTCTTGAGAAATTACAACAACT